AACATGTTTGTTTGCGCTCCACACCCCAGTCATTCCCTCCTCCTTTCCTCCTTCATTGGTACAGTGGTGTAACAACACAACACTTAGCACACAAAATAATAACATAAAGACACAAATTATTGAACCACGAGTACTCGCAGCTACTGAAAGCTAGTTCAACTAATAGATAAACCATGTTATCTTAGATTAAAATCTCAATCGGTACACATCAAACAAATTTCGCAAAACTTAAGTTTACATTTTTAATTTTTGTTTTAGCAAAACTTTAAAACTGTGCAGTGAATCTTGTGCTCACAACAGTTATTGTCATAAATATGTATACATCAGACATTATAAAGGCATGTGGAAGATACTAAGTAGTATTTTACAGTTCAATTTATTGATCATAAAGGGATGGAGATTGCATGGAGGTTAACATAGGATAAGAAGAAATTGATAGTATTTTTGGCGAAAGACTTTTAAAAACCTTCATTGCATTAAATTCTGAAAGTTTTCTTGTTGCCGTAAATGATAAAATCCTCAACAAAATCTCAATAATTTGTTGGAATGAATAAAGGTTTTAAATCAAATTTTCATGGACTTTGATCCACATTTTAGCTCCCACCCTGACGAGCCATGTGAGCTGTCGGTATCCTGTTGCACCTACCGCCCGTAAACTTTCACATTTCAATCTTTTTACCCAATTCATACGTGACAGGATTATTATCCTAGTAACCGGTGTTACCAATGTATCGAACATTTTAAGTTAAAAAATTCCACAATACTATATTCATTTTGTGTGTCAATTTGTTTAGACAAAACAAAACTGCAAACACTTCGAATACTTGTAAGAGAGTTTTTTTTTTAAATGTCATTATTATCTGTCGATTTCTAGATCTATGCATAGTATTTATTTCAGATGACATGGAATTAACACCCTGGTGACCCTGCTTCCCTTCATATATTCATATTTATCGTCCTTCCCTACGCCTATATCACCCTGCTCAGTCGCTCCGTAATTCTCGTATCACGGCTTTGAGACGAGAGCAGGCATTATCAGCGACGTCACAATGTCTGAGGAGAAGTTATCAGCGACGTCACAATGTGAGAGGAGACGTTATCAAGCTTGCTTTCGTCAAGCGTAAAACTGCCTTAAGGAGGGGGAAAAGACCAGTTATAGAACGATAAACAGATAATCGGGTTTTCTTCGTATAGATATCGTAAAATATCTGCCGCTCGACACAATGTGAAGCGTTTTCACTCGTTCGCTGCGCTCACTCGCCAAAAAGGTTCCAATGTGGCTCGCGGTTGATATTTTACGATATCAATGTGTAGAAAACCCGATTATCTATACAAATATATAAATAAACAAACTAAAGGCTGCAACTGGTATTTTTGCATTTAAAATGATTCATTGCAACAAGAATATTTGTATTGAATGGAAACTGTGTGAGTAAAAATTTTGTATTGCTGATAAATGTTGCTGGACCAAGTTTCGGCATCCGATCTGAATTTTCTGAAAAGTGCAAGGTAGATAGACATTGGCCTGGCTAACTGCTTGAACTTTTGCGATATAAACTAAAAACTCGAATATATTTTAACAAACAGTGGTCATGTTTTTAATTACGGACGCCAAGTCAATAGCTCACACGGCCCCTTGATTCAGGTGAGCTTAGAGCAAAACGGGTTGATAACCTGTTGAAATTAAACCAAGTTTTGTAAAGTTTGTATATTTGGATAGTTTATAACTGTTTTGTAACATCTTGTGATCCGTTTATTTGGCAATCGCCAATGGCAGTCAGCAGGGTTTAAGAACATATGTTGTTCGACCTGTTAGTCAAATGCGTTTTGTTAAAATATACTTTTTCACTTTTTGGTCTTTTGGAAAATGTTGTTTGTGCTGTATTTAGACCCCTCTATCAAGAAATTTTGCTGTTTTTATCCAACGCAATCATAGGTTTGAACGTTGTTTTCAATTTAGACTTGTTTATATTTTTTCGTTTGGGCTTGTATTATATTTTCCGTCGGGTTTATATGATCCGTTCATCCTATTTCTAATATTTCGACTCTTCAAAATTCAAGAGTCTATCCTAAATTGAGGTAAATTATATGGCCTTCCAAATATCGTTTCGATCCCTTACATCACTGAAGAGACATTAATTGTCGAAATCCGGATATGGTGTACTAATTTTTGCACCTTTTGTTTGCGGTATACCATCTTTTCCGCAAGTTTATTGTTTTCTTTTTGGTATTAAATCAATAATTTAAATAAAATCCATTTTGTAACATCTTGTGATCCGTTTATTTGGCAATCGCCAATGGCAGTTAGCAGGGTTTAAGAACATCTGTTGTTCGACCTGTTAGTCAAATGCGTTTTGTTAAAATATACTTTTTCACTTTTTTGGTCTTTTGGAAAATGTTGTTTGTGCTGTATTTAAACCCATCTATCAAGAAATTTGTTTTGCATGCACACGTATAAAAATTGCTGTTTTTATCCAACGCAATCATAGGTTTGAACGTTTTTTTCAATTTAGACTTGTTTGTATTTTTTCGTTTGGGCTTGTATTATATTTGCCTTCGGGTTTTATATGATCCGTTCATCCTATTTTGACTCCTAAAAATTCAAGAGTCTATCCTAAATTGAGGTAAATTGTATGGCTTTCCAAAAACCGTTTCGATTCCTAACATCACTGAAGAGACATTAATTGTCGAAATCCGGATATGGTGTACAAAAACCTTTGCGCCTTTTGTTTGCGGTATACCATCTTTTCCGCAAGTTTATTGTTTTCTGTTTAGTATTAAATTTATAATTAAGATCCATTTATTACATCGGTGATCCGTTTATTTGGCAATCGCCAATGGCAGTCAGCAGGGTTTAAGATCATTTGTTGTTCGACCTGTTAGTCAAATGCGTTTTGTTAAAATATACTTTTTCACTTTTTTGGTCTTTTGGAAATTGTTGTTTGTACTGTATTTAGATCCTTCTAACAAGAAATTTGTTTTGCATGCACACGTATAAAAATTGCGGTTTTTATCCAACGCAATCATAGGTTTGAACGTTGTTTTCAATTTAGACTTTTATATCTTTTTTCGTTTGGGCTTGTATTATATTTTCCGTCGGGTTTATATGATCCGTTCATCCTATTTCGACTCTTTAAAATTCAAGAGTCTTTCCTAAATTGAGGTAAATTATATGGCCTTCCAAATACCGTTTCGATCCCTAACATCACTGAAGAGACATTAATTGTTGAAATCCGGATATGGCGTACACATTTTTGCACCTCATGTTTGTGGTATACCATCTTTTCCACAAGTTTATTGTTTTCTGTTTGGTATTAAATTAATATTAAGATCCATTTTGTTAGATCTGGTGATCAATTTATTTGGCAATCGCCAATGGCAGCCAGCAGGGTTAAAGAACATCAGTTGTTCGACCTGTTAGTCAAACGCGTTTTGTTAAAATAGACTTTTTCACTTTTTTTGGTCTTTTGGAAATTGTTGTTTGTGCTGTATTTAGACACCTCTACCAGGAAGTTTGTGTTACATGCACACGTATAAAAATTGCGGTTTTTATCCAACGCAGTCATAGGTTTGAACGTTGTTTTCAATTTAGACTTATATATATTAAATGATATAACAATTTTAAAGCTACCGATACAACTACAGGGTTTTACGATTGCATGTATTTGCCACAAATGAACACGTTTCATAATGTTTTACTAAAATAATAAATGATTCCTGACACTGTCTGGTCTGTTTCGTACCGTAACAATGCCAGGCCTGCTTCGTACTTTGATACTGCCTGGTCTGTTTAAAACTTAAAACTGTAAGTAGATGCATATTTGGAATGGAGTTGAAATTATTTTGATGATCAAGCAATCTGTATAACATTGTTCAACCTTTCGCTATCCCGTGAAAATGCAAGTCAGAAAAATTGACATGATACTAAAACTATCAAACATTGTAGATCGAGTTAACGAGTTAACTTAGTTAAAGAAGTGTATTATATTACTGCCGACCATTTTTTGCATGTCAGTTAATCTCTTCAATTACAATTTCAAATATAGTTTTAACTACTATCTATGAATGTTACGACAATTTTATATGCATACACAAGAAAGAAAATAAACAATTTATGAAAGAGAAACAAACACTATTTGATAACAATATGGACAAACAATCACATACAAACAACACAAAATAACCCAGTTTATCACCACCTTCAAAACAACCTTCAATGGTTAAAATAAAAAGCTGTTTTAAATATATTAATTACATGTTGTGTATTTTCAAAAACTCAAAGTTTGATGCAAATAATATAAAATAGCATAATGAATTTTATTTATTTCCAGATAAAAAGATTTTGTCATTTGTTAAATATATATTCATATATATGGTATCGTTATTTCTATCTGCTCAGTAAGTCTTGATGGAATTTCAATTATCACAAAAAAAAAAACAACAACAACAAAAACAACTTAAGCAGAACTGTATTTGAAATTCATCTCCCCCCTTTTAAAACACTATCATAATGTAGTTTTATTCAACCACAGATTGAAATACCAGTTACATGCTTTAAAGAGGTGATCTAGACAAAAACACCCTTTGAACATTTTTGCAATTTGACAATTAGAGATATACTAGTATATATGAATCAAAACAGATCTTAAAGGGTCTACTGACTATTAGTCCATAATGATATCATATATAAAGTCAAAATGTGGTATTGGAACGATTATAATGTAACTTTTTTTTAATAGCCAGGTTATAAATTTAAGATAATTGGTTGCAACTCCTTTAGACAAAATTGTCCTTTTCGGGTTTTTGGCTGTTCTGTTTCGGTCATTTTTTCGTGCTCTTTGGTGTTTGATATATTTAGATTTTGATACTTGTGATCTCGAGCGTCACTTAATTTAAAAGTAATCATAGAAACACGCATTATGTGCTCTGGTAAATAGTATCATACGTATATTCCATCCATAAGAAGTAAACTTAAGCATATAAATTACAATGTGCACACATTTACCTAGTATGAATTATTTATTTGAATAATTATACAGGCATTTTATCTTTCCCTTATACAAACATACATAACATAATGTGGAATGTATTCCGAACCTTTTTGCAGAAACATAATTATGTGAATAACAATTGCAGAACTGCACTGATTTTAATGTTTGTATATCATATCACTTAATACTGCACCATCGAAACTTCAACGACAACATTTGTGTCCTCATCTAAAATTATACCAATAAACTCATCATCGATACCAGGATTTAAATTGTGTACGCAAGACGCGAGTTTCGTATACAAATGACACATAAGTAACGCTCAAATCAAAAAGTAAAAAAGGCCAAATAAAGTACGACAGAAAAGAGTTTTTCTAAAGAGAAACAGTTCTTGTATTTATGCCTTTAAAGTTTTTTAAAGGCTGTCACTATGACTTGAGTTTAAGAACAGCACAACAACGGCTATGCCTTTGTTTTTGATGTCGGTAAATGTGTGATATGATCTTATGTAATAAATTAGTACAACCAATCATTCGTTTCCTTCAAAAGGAAGCTATTGTATTAATTTCGTTTTTTAATCTTCTGGTCTCATGTCAGAGTATATAAAATTCAGCAATTCATCTAAAGATCTGATTTCATACGACTGAGGTGCACGAACTTCCTTAAGGTGTTTACCCTTCAAGCTTCCCCCAACTAGATATTCCTTGCCTATTTTACTTTGTGCCCATTTAATTATTTTATCCATCGTTGGTGTTTCTACACTAACGATTTCTGCTATACCTTTCATAACAACAAGACCAAATGGAATGTCCTCTGTCATGTAGCGATATTCAAAATCTGGAACATATCCATTTTCTACAGCGTTCATTGGATGTACAAATTGAGAATATGATTGATTTGTTCTCATACACGTCATTACTGAACTATCATCTGATATTTGTTTATAGTAACGCTGTTTAAACCAATCATGTATATGAATTACGTCAGACATATCCATATCTCTTTTCATGTCTGATATCCTCTTTGCCGTTGCCACTAATTCATCACTCAAGTTTGACATGATGTCAGCTTGTTCCTCATTCACTGATTTAAAATATGAGGGCACTTCAGGCAGAGGTTGTCCATCCCAGTCTTTCCATTTACCGTACATGAGAGGAGGATGAAGAATGGAACCAGCCATCAATGAAACAGAGAGGAAATTAGAAGCTAGTTTTATTACGGGTTTTTCACCGAGTATATATTGTAATGTTTCAATTACTTGAAATGGAAGTGTAAAGTCAATACCTGTAAGCATTGTGGCATATACTACGTCTTTTTTCCCAAACAAGCGAACATGTTTACCATAGTCCACAACACGACATCCCCATGGTAAAGAGTCGAAACCAACGATTGTACATATTCTGGATTTATTTCCTAACACGTACTTACATTGAAGTTCAAATCCTGCATGGCCTGGAAGACCGACTACTAGCATGTTAGGTTTGATGTAAGGAAGTATTGTACGGATATAAAGTTCATGACGATATGCCGGGGCGACAATAAAAACGACCTGTATTTGATCCATTGCTGCGGCAGCGTCGTTCGTTACAAATGACGGTGATGATTCGATATTCTTCACTGAACCATCTGGTTGTGTAGCAGACATAGTCAGGCATCCTTCCTTAAGAGAACTGTTCCAACGCTCAGCTGAACCATCATGCAATGTGAGTACGCTAACTTCGATATTCTTTCTTTGTGATGCAAATACTGATAAACAATGAGCGCCGTTTCCTCCACCACATATAATGATTTTTAGTTTTGTATCCATCACCACTGATGTACCTGGAAATAAAAGAAAACTGTAATAATGAAATTTCTTTTATTAGTTTAATCCCATTGGCTGGTGGTTTGGGGAGCACATGAGATCATCCCCGTTTTCTGGTGGGGTTGGTGTTGCTCAATCTTTAGTTTTCTATGTTGTGTTTTGTGTACTGTTATTTGTCTTTTTGGTCTTTTATTTTTTATTTTTTTTTGGGCCATGGCGTTGTCAGTTTATTTTCGACTTATGAGTTTGAATGTCCCTTTGGTATCTTTCGCCTCTCTTTTGCGCCGTGCCTCCATGATTTTGAATAAGATATAAAAGATAAATATGAGTAGTTCATTTCGCTACATACATTATTGTTTAGGGACTTGCCGAAGCTTTTTTGTCGCATGTACGCGGCTTTATAGTTTTGACATCAAAACGCGATTTCGAAGATACTGCCTCTTTGAAAGACATATTTTTGTTATTATAATTATTATGCATAACCGAACATACGAAATGAACAGAGAAAACTCTTTGTGATTGGTTAGTGGTCCATGTCATAAAGTCCGTTCCACTGATCTGTGTAAAAGCAAACTTCGAATTCTCTCATATCTATTCCTATTGTATAAGAAAATCTATAGTTTTTTTTTCATAATGTTTTTGTTATGTATATTGTTGTATACACACACACACACATATATATATATATATGTATTAGCGACAATAAGTAAAACTAGGCATTGGCCTTAAATCATAGGCAATAAGCTAATGCCTTGCATTAAGTTATTGGCTGAAATTTTCAGGCATTAAACTTATTTCCTGAAATCTGACGATGATTATTTAACTTGTTGCCAAACATCATTTCCGGCAATAAGGGAACTTTGGGATTTTTCCTTTATCTTCCATGTAAATGTAAAATCGGTTAAATATTCTTGATGTAAAGTTGTGTTTATATTATCGTCCAAATATTAATATACATTAATTTAACAGATATTCAAATTTTATTATTTTTTTCATATTCATAACAAAATTAACTTGTATTTCTTTGAACAAAAATTGATATGTTACAAACAAGTGATTGTATCTGATAAAAAGAGGGGGATTGATGATTCTATCTGAAAATGTTTTGACGAAAATTCAAACTTCACTGGTCGAGCTGGTTTTGGTCTGGTCAATGGTAAAAACAAAGGTAAGGGGAATGACGAGGAAACTTTGAAAAATAATACGTTTTTCTAGAGGAATTGCATGGTACTTTGGAAAAGGCACATAAACAGGTCATGGCGACAAAGACCATATGATTTAACCAACTTAATACTGCCTATGCAAATAGTGATCGTGATTCCATCAATCCATGGATATGCAATTATTTTTCGTGATTTCATCGAACTATTTCTTTCACATTGTGAAAATTGTAACATGAAAAAAAGTATTTAGGAATGGGAGAAGTAATTAAAGCCATTTTAACCAAAGAGTTCAACATTAGAGGACAGGTTGATTTTAATGGATTTCCAATCAAACTCAAATGGAAACTATAAATTTCTAAAAAATCACCTAACAAACGTTTTTAACATTAGAGCTATCACGTAAAAATGTCCTTCAGAGGTGACTTTCGACTTATTTGATGTTTACACAATTTTTGGTGCGCCTAATAAACTGCAAAGTGACAATAGTAGTGAATTTACAGCTTTGGTTATATCCGAGTTAAAACTAAGGTAGCCAGAACTAGGGATAAAGATTCCACCACTGCATCAAGTGTGTTACGTTATTTCGCCATTTGAGACAGTTAAATTTTAAAATTCAAAACGCGAGGCTTGCCGAGCTTTTTGAATATTTAAAACTTTACTGTTGAGAGTGGAGAAATATCGTAATACACGAGATATAGTGGTGGAATCTGTTTCTCTAATGATTTTTAGACGATATCTAAACAAAGTTTTTCCTTCTTTTTCAAAGATTTGCAGAAAGTTGTGTTCTTTATATGTTACGTCATCAGCCTTTTTTTCACGACGTTAAAGGAGGAAATTCAGTAGAAATCAAGAAAACTGACGCTATTATTAAACTTGGACCAATCATTTGCTGAGAACAAAGTTTTCTCTATAGATGAGAAATATTTTTCTCACACTGATCGAGAAATGTGAAAATAGCATAAAAATTAGAAACTTTGTTTCAGGTAGTTGACATTTTAAACTTCAGTTCTTGTCGTGTTATTATGTACTTAAGGTATTTTAACTTTGAATAAATGTATTTTTATTTACTTTCAATTACATATTAGGCATTACGATTTATGCCTGGACACATTTTTCAGGATTTAAGTTGATTTTAAGAAAATGACTAATGCCTAACATCATTTAGGCAACAGGCTTACCGCCTAGGCGTTAGCTTATTGTGAAGGATTTCAGCTTAATGCCTATTTTCATTTATTGCCGCTAAGATATATATATATATAACGTATAATTTTTATACATACCACTCTACAATGATACAATACAGATAAAGATCACAAGGATGTATTTATACATTGTTAACGATCATGTACACATACAGGTAACAGATATAATGTGGAGGTGAATGTACATTCATTTATGTTAGATAATCATACACATTGATAAGCGTCTGTAGTGTTCATGTGTGACCACGTATTTATTTTGTTTCCTTTGTTCTTTTTTTCTATTCGTTTGTGATGTTTTGGCAATATTGTAACTTACAAATGTTTGTCTCTCCTTCATAAATATTTATTTCCTTTCTTCTGTATCAATATGAAAATCGTTGTAACAAACATGGAAAGTACTTAGTTAATAATATATTTCAAATTGAAAAACAGCACAGAAAGACAGGACCTGACATGCATAAAAATGGTCGGCAGTAATATTATACATTTCTCATATGTATTTGGTCTCTTGCACAATAAAAAAACATTGAATGTACAGAAAGCATATATTGACCAACGAGATACATAAGACACGTTTACATGGTTAATACTTCAAGCCCGCCTCCTAGTGCGTGATTTTCTCGCTGCGTTGAAGACCCATTGGTGGCCTTGGGCTATTTTCTGCTCTTTGGTCGGGTTATTGTCTCTTTGACACATTCCCCGTTTCCATACTCTATTTTATAATACGACAATGTTGTCGGTGCATTTCATTTGCGCGCATTACCATTATATTTGAGCGTTAATATAATTAAGTTTGCGAGCAGCATTTAATTACATTTGTTAGTATTCACTTTACAGGTAAAATTATGAAAACACCGGTAAAAAAGTACGAACAAAAATACCGAACTCCAAATTAAATTCAAAAAGGGGAATACCTATCAAACCTGACAAAATCAAACGCTCGACTTTATCAACGAACGGATAATTGCATGTGTTATATGTAAAACGAATGCTCTCAAACGAAAAATATGTAATCTCCAAATCTTTTGTGTCCAGAGCGTTTTTTTTTTCTGAATTTACCTTCATCTGGAACGATCAAAATTTAAAAAAAAACCTTTTGATCTAAATCAGGTAAACAGGTACATGATTAATAGGGAACAAAAAATAATTGTAAAATCCATTTGAGATTGACTATGCTTTATCATTTTCTTACTTTATTAAATTGAAGCACAGAAAGTATCTCTACACACTTCATGTCTTGTTCTCAAACGAAAGATATGAAATTAAAACTCAAAAAGGTATGTTTTTTTTTATTTTCTCCTTTTTTTCTTCTTCGGTTTTACGTTGCTAACAGAAAAATAATAAAGTGGTACATTGCAACAATAAAAACCTAGACATATTCTATAGGTTATTATTGATATTGAGTTAAAGATATGAAGTTATATTGATACTTTAGAGTTCTTTTGTTTTGCGAAATTATACATGACGTTTTATATTAATTGTAATTTCGATTTATAAACAACAACAAGAAAAAGGCAATCAGAAATATTAAGAATTAAAGAGACAACAGTGCGCCAGTACTTTGAATAACATGCGGCAAACAGAGAAATTAACTACAGCAAAAAGATTACATACACAGGTATTGATTTAAATAGCTTTCAACAACGAAATAAGTGATTAAAAGATATTAATTGCTTTTAACATTGAAGTATTTCTTTATCATATAACAGCTATATGCTTAATCTTAATGCACGCCTTCGAAATATATTTAATACTGGTGACTGATATTAGATGGTCAAACTCGTATTGAAAAGCAAGTTTGCTTCATGAAATGATAAAATCTGTACTTGATTGGAAACATCAATTACGCTATTAATAAATACACCATTTAAAAAAGTAGATCCGTGTAGATAGATGTTTTTGTAAGTTTTTCTAGTTTGTTACCAACATGTGCCTGATAATCGGAAATAAACTCAACTTTTAGGATATAAAATGATAAGATGAGTGTATTTAAAAAAAAAACTATCAAACTAGCATTCTTTACGACATTACTATTATTTTTTGTTTTGAAATAACGCTTCTCTGGATTGTTTTGTTTATTTTGTTGATGTTCTCATCTTAAATCAAAGGACAAATGTCAGTGAAAATAAGTCAAATATTGTACCTATCGTACTGAGTAATGATAACTTAATGAATATTTAACAAAAAGAAAATAAATATTTTATGAAAGATAGATTATGTGATAATTTAATGAAATATGATATCTTGAAGTTCGTTTGAACAGCACATTGCTTTTGACATTAAAATATCTCTTCACTTTATAAATGCATTGAAATGGATACTAAAATTTAATGACATTGGACGGTCATGCGTGGCAGGGAAGAAATTACATTTTTATTTCATAAAAAATCTTTTCTCCCAATAGTTAAAAAACTTTTAACAATAATTTGTTTTTTTTTTGTTTTTTTTTCATTTATTTATTCACTACTTAATTCATCATGTTTATGATTACGGAATTAACATTTTTTTATATCATAGTTATAAAAAAAATTAAATGAGAAATTTAGAAGAAGAAATCAGGAAGAAAGTTTTATGTCATAATTTATCTGTATATAGGGTCCAGTTTTATTAATATTGTGAGCAAGAAATTTAGTTCAGATGAATAAGCCAGATTCTGCTTTGGAAATCTTCAGGAAGAGTGTTTAATTTATCATAATAAAATGTTTTTTATTGAATGCATTTCTTTTATTTTGAGGTGTAATACCACCATTGATTTTCCCCTTTAGTCTTTGTTAAATTTGCTCTTTTCCAAAAATTGTGCAGAATTTATCTTTGTTTCAAATGAAGAAATACTTGGCATCAGTAAAATTTTATCCTATCCAGTACTATAGAAAAATTTCACATAACATTTCATTACATATAAGAAAATAACCATCACTGGAAGTTAATCAATCAAATTTTCCCCCTTTTTTAACCTGTGTACAAGCTTTAGTAACCATGTAACCTCAAGTTTCCAAAATATTCTATAGAAACCCCAAATAAAAAAATAATGGTGCTTTGAAATACCAAAGGTATATGTTTATGACCCAGAAATGTTTTACTGCAATGAAATGTAGGATCAATTACCTACAACTGTCAAATTCAAGGGAATATTTTTTTTCGACCTATTTTCGTATGCAACCGGATGTGACGTACTATGATTTGGTGGTATTACACCTAAAGAAGACTTTTTTGTTAAATAAACTGAATGTGACTTTTTTCTTTGTAATACTGGTTAGTTCAAGCATTCCTGTCAAGTTTTGTCATAATCATTTCAATAGTTTGAGAAAAATCTAGTATAATGTAAGACGACATCTACAGTGTTTCGAGCAAAATTTCTTCGAAAAATCCAAACCAAGCCGCATCATGATAGAATATAGTGTGGACCAATAAATGATCAAATATTTATCTCATCTGCCTACAAACAGTTGAATATGATACAAAAGATGACTTTAGGATGATAAATACTACTAATGGACCTCTTTGTCTTCCTTATAAGGTCTCTTTTGGTCCATTTATACCTCTCATTTCCTCAAAATTTCTATTTTTTAGGCCAATAAATAAAATTTTTGGGGTAACTGTCACTCATTTATGATAGAAATGTTATAATAAATGATTAATTGAACTATTCAAGCTGAATGAACTATCCGTATAAAAGTTTACTGTCTCCAAGGAGGTTTCAATAAGTCCTTACGTAAAACTTAAATTTACGCTGTGTTCCAGAGAGGGACATAAAAAACTTCTCTTTTTGGTGAATAATTTGTTGTAACTGCATTAAAAATAATTTCATTTACTTAAAACTACATAGTTTTTAAAGTATTCCTTAGGAAAATGTTTCTAGTATAGCAGAATATAAGAAATAAGGAGAAAAAGCTCCCCAAAACTCTAAGTATGGCTTGTTCTGTCAACTAATATTCAGGGTAAAGTCCTATTTCAAGGAAATTTTCTCATAAAATGTGTTTTGGAGACTCAATCCACTCAGAATATTTCATTATTTGTAATATTTCACTTAAATAGCAAGAAATTTTAACACATGAGAGTACTCACAAGGTCAAAGGTGCATGTAGAGCTTCCCATATTAGGTGTAATACCACCATTGATTTTCCCCTATTAGTCTTTGTTAAATTTGCACTTTTCAAAAAATTGTGCAGAATTTATCTTTGTTTCAAATAAAGAAATACTTGGCATGAGTAAAGTTTTATCCTGTCCAGTACTATAGAAAAAATTTCACATAACATTTCATTGCATATAAGAAAATAACTATCACTGGAAGTTAACCAATCAAATTTCCCCCCTTTTTTAACCTGTGTACAATCTTTAGTAACCATGTAACCTCAAGTTTCCAAAATATTCTATAGAAACCCAAAATAAAAAAATAATGGTGCTTTGAAATACCCAAGATATATGTTTATGACCCAGAAATGTTTTACTGCAATGAAATGTAGGATCAATTACCTACAACTGTCAAATTCAAGGGAATATTCTTTTTCGACCTATTTTCGTATGCAACCGGGTGTGACGTGCTATGATTTGGTGGTATTACACCTTGATCACTTTTCGTCAATATTTTAAGCTGTTACTTTCTTGGCCGTTAATACAATGGTCTCTGTTTAAATAGAACGTCTGAATGGCAAATATAAATGTCAATAGGTGCAAAATTACCAATTGTAAATATATTCAATATAAATTCCAATGTTGTGTACGGCAGACTCGCGTTTCGTCTACAAAAGACTCACCAGTAACGCTCTAATCAAAAAAAAATAAAAGGCAAAAAAAGGACGAAGTTGAAGAGCATATAGGACCGAAAATTCCGAAAGGTTTTGCCAAATACTGCTAAAGTAATCTATTCTTGTGATAGAAAATCCGTATTTTTTTCGAAAAAATTGAAGTTTTTTTTAGAATGTAATAAATGTGTATCCGTTTACTAATTTAATCAATCAACGCTTTTTGAGTTCTATCCTTAGTTTTTTCGAAAAAAGTTGAAGATGACTAATGATCTGAGCTGATGAAACCCTCAGGGACTGATAATCTACCATCAGCGATATCGACTAATAGCTGTAATACTGAATACAACACTTTATAAATATCATGCGTCCGAAGCGCATTTTTGTATTTATATTCATC